CTGGAGAGATAGGACTTTATGCAGTAACATAGTGAAAGTGCTTAAAAATCCCATCACCATGCCTGTAATCCCAGCACTCTGGAGGCCCAGGCGGGAGGAGGATTCCTTGAGTTCAAGAGTTCAAGATCAGCCTGAGCAATAGTGAGACCCCATCTCTACTAAAAATAGAAAAATTATCCAGGTATCATGGAGGACACCTATAGTTCCAGCCACTCAGGAGGCTGAGGCAGGAGGATGTGTTGAGCCCAGAAATTTGGGGTTGCTGCAAGATATGACGACGCTACCAATTCTACCCAGGGGGACAGAGACAGACCCTGTCTCAACACCCCCCCAGTCAATAAATACCTAAAATATGCCTCATAAATGGACTCACAGGTCCATGGAGCTCTTTTGCTTTCTACGGAAAGGAGAGGAACGGAACTGTGATTATTTATTCCTATTTATTGTAACATATTTTAGAAGTTATAGTTCACTGAAAACAAAAGCTGTTTTTGTTTAAAATAAAACATACTCCATCTCTCTCTCTAGTAAACTTTTCTGAATCTACATGCCTAAAAAGCATAAAATTTAATTATAAAATTGCTTGATTACTTTCCACATTGCTACCTTCGAAAGGCTTTGAGACCTTGTTTTTCCCCCACACAGGGAGGTTCCATTTTAGTAGCAGAAAAAGCTGTTTGAGTTGAAGCATTCACCCGAGGCAACTCACCTCCACCTTGGCTCCAGAGCAACTTGGATTTCCGCGTTTTTGAGCAGGTCAGTGATTTGGGAAACCAGTAGAAGAGCTGGGCTGTTCCTCTGAAAGTCTTGCAGAAGTCACTCTATGGCCATGGCTAGAACTGAGAGTGTTTCAGAACGCCGTAGGCACAGAGCAGAGCTGAGGGACATAGCAACACCCACCCAACGCTTTAGCTGTGAACTTCCTTCCAGCCAATCTGGCTGGGGACCACCTGTTCATTCCTTTGGTTTGTCCTTTAGACCTTGGCCCTCATAACTAGAAACTGTATTTATAGATGTTCTTTCTAAAGAAAGAGTTTCAAGTTTTTTTTACAAAGAAACTCTAGCCTAAGGAAACATTTGATGATTTTTTTAGCATGAACTTTATAAAACACAATTATTTTCATAGAATATTGAAAAGAAAAACAGTATCCACTAACTCTGCCTCCGAAAGAACTGTCCATGGTGATCTGCAGGACTCAGTGGTGACTGACAAGCAATCTGTTAAAAATGAAGCCTTGGTCTCATTTGCTTTTATGCATTTTTTTTTGTTGCCCTCTGGTAGAGTGCTGTGACATCACAGCTCAAGGAACCCTCTTGCCTCAGCCTCCCAAGTAGCTAGGACTACAGGGGCCAGCCACAACACCCAGCTATTTTTAGAGATGGGGTCTCGCTCTTGCTCAGGTTGGTCTTGAACCTGTGAGCTCAGGCAATCCACCCGTCTCAGCCTCTCAGAGTGCTGGGATTACAGGCATAAACCATCATGCCCATCCTGCTTTTGTGTATTTTTTTTTTTTTTTTTTTGAGACAGAGCCTCAAGCTGTCCCCTTGGGTAGAGTGCCATGGCATCACAGCTCACAGCAACCTCCAACTCCTGGGCTCAAGCAAGTCTCCTGCCTCCGCCTCCCAAGTAGCTGGGACCACAGGTGCCTGCCACAATGCCCGGCTATTTTTTGGTTGCAGCTGTCATTGCTTTTGTGGGCTCGGGCTGGATTTGAACCTGCCACCTTAGTATATTTGGCTGGCACCTTAGTCACTTGAGCCACAGGCGCCGAGCCCTGCTTTTGTGTATTTTTTACTGGAAAAATACCTATTTTAAGCTTGACTTTGTCAAGGGGTAAAAAGAAAACTTCATTGACTCTTTTGAGTCAAGAAACGTGTAAAAGAAATTTTCCAAGGTCCCGTTTTGATTTTTGACTCTGTGATGAAGAGCTCTCTAGACCTCTCTTCAGCATTACAGAGTACTATCTCGGCAGACGCCAGCATCCAGCTGGCTGCCCGCCACCAGACTCACACTGAGGTCCCACCATCACCCCTGAAACTGTCCAAGGTTGGTCCTGGAGCCTCTGTCAAAAGAAACAAACTTACTCATACAGGGATTTATTTAGTCTCTAAACAGCCTGATTTACTATTTATATCTGTACATACTATGGTAAGTTTCTAGAGTTAATTTATACTCTGATTAGAAATGAGATATTTTATTGCCAGTTTAATTTCCAGATTAGATATTTTTGTTTTTTATTCCATTTTCAGTATTTCTTAGGAATTTGGACTTGAATCTTGTTACAATGGACAAGTAAGAACAAGTCCGATCAAAACAACAGTGTAGAAGTCTTTCAGGGAAGTGCCTTGTTGAAAGTGGGTTGTGGGGCGGAGAGTCTAGCCGCAGTGACCCGGCTAACACTTCCCGGGCAGCGGCGTCTGCTGCAGCTGTGCGGCTCTGAAAGCTCAACACCCTCCCGGGGTAGGGTGGGGTGGTGCAATCAAGAGCCAGGGTAGCTCGGGCTAATGTGGTGGTTCTGAAGAGAAAGTAAACTGTCCAAACTTCAGCTGAGAGTTCTTAATCCTGCCCATAGTCCCTTTCTTAATTCTAAACACTTTAAACACCGAACACCCCACAGGCAGACATCATTCTAAAATAAAAATAAAACTGCCGCCAAAACAAACAAACAAACTAACTAGGATTATTGTCTCCCCCCCCGCCCCTGATGATTTGCCAATAAAGATGTATTTTAAAAGTTTTGAGAAGATTCTTTCGTATCTAGGAAGAGACATCTGTTTGACATAGCGTAACCAGGTCCCTAAGACACACAGTATTCGGTAACTTCCAAAATAATAGCAAGCAGAATTTTAGAAGACATAATGGGGTTATTTTTCTAATTTCTTTCCTAACCTTAAAATTCTATTGACTTGAAGCTACCCCTTTTCACACACTTCATATTCAATAATTTCCTCTTTAATTTTTGTTAGAACCACAAGCTCTGTCAAGTCTACTAATTCTTCTATTTGTATTAGTCTTTATTTTTTGGAAACATTCTAATATTGAAAAAAGCTACTAAACAGGAGCTGTAACTTATCTAAAGTAAACTTCCCTCCATCACTGAAAGCAGACTGGGATCAGGACTCACTTACTGACTTAACGTATTTTGCAAGACCGCTCTGTTCCACGTCACCATAATGGGGGATGAGACAGTAAGTCTGGCCGGGCATGCGGCTCACGCCTGTAATCCCAGCACTTTGAGAGGCCAAGGGTAGAGGACTGTTTGAACCCCAAATTTCTTTTTTTTTTTTTTTTTTGAGACAGGAGCCTCAAGCTATCCCCCTGGGTAGAGTGCCGTGGCATTACAGCTCACAGCAACCTCCAACTCCTGGGCTCAAGCGAGTCTCCTGCCTCCACCTCCCAAGTAGCTGGGACCACAGGCGCCCGCCACAACGCCCGGCTATTTCTTGGTTGCAGCCGTCATTGTTGTTTGGCGGGTCCGGGCTGGGGATTCGAACTCGCCACCATAGGTGTACGTGGCTGGCGCCTTAGCCGGTTGAGCTATAGGCGCCAAGCCTGAACCCCAAATTTCAAGACCAACCTAGGCAACATGGTGAGATCACATCTCTACAAAAAATTAAAAAAATAATTAGCTGGGTGCGCACCTGTGGTCCCAGCTACTCAGGAGGCTGAGGCAGGAAGGTCACTTGAGCCCAGCAGTTTGAGGTTGCTGTGGGCTGTGACTCTCTGCACTGTATGTAGCCTGGGCAACAGGGTGAGAACTTGTCTCCAAAAAACCCTACAAAAACCAAAAACCAAAACCCAGTAAATCTTAAAAAATACCAGTAAGAAACAGGCATGTTCCTGTCAATGCTGTAAGACAAGCACAGCCCCACAGTAACGGTGGTTTCTTGGTGCTCTTTACTAGAGGAGCTAAAATCAGGACATAACTTGAGTAAAATGTTTTACCTGACATTCCATGATACAAACATTTAAACTATAAAATTTAAGACACTAATGTTAAAAGGTCAAATAGAAAATTAAAATCGAGGGGTTACACTCTCACTTGCCCCACTCTCAGACTAAGCAGGCGTCTGTGGATAACGATTTGCATCAATCAGGGCACTCACCTTTGCATTTAATTTATTTCTATCATGTATGCAGTGACACTTAAAATTTCCCACTATGATCATGTAGCAGTAACTCAACTAAAATGCGATCCATTCTCAGTTCTTAGAATGACTTAGTTCTGATGTCCTGTAGCCAACTTTTGGGGGGGGACAGCTCTCTGACCTACAGTGTGTGAGAGCACCTCCACCTCTGCTGATATGCCAGAAACCAAAACCAAAACAAATGAAAATCCTGTTGGATAAAATAATTTCTGATGAGCAGAGTCTGTTAACCTACAACTCTGGATAGATTTTTCAAAGAAAACGTTGCCTTTTCATTTGTATATCACGAATTAATGAAAACTTCTAAATATGGAATTTGTGGATTTAGGAGAGAAAAATTTATCACTACTACTCATATCATTTCTTTCAGAAGATAACTTCTGTTTCTCAAACTGGATACATAGAAACACACAAATTCATTACATTAATATCAAGAAATTTATTGATTTTTTCCATGAAATAGTAAGCAGAATTAAAGAAATATACAGCTTAAAATAGTTGAAATGACCCTAAAGCTTTTGTGACAATTATACATTTATGGCCAAAAGAAAAATCAATCTTTTTAGATAACGAATTCCCTTTAGAAACTTTGCTCAAGCCCAGGTGTGGTGGCTCAGCCTGGAATCCTAGCACTCTGGGAGGCCAAGGGGAGTGGATTGCCTGAGCTCAGGAGTTCTGACCAGCCGCCCTGTCTCTAAAAACTAGCTGGGCATTGTGGCAGGCACCTGTAGTCCCAGCTATTGGGGAGGCTGAGGCAGGAGGATTGTTTGAGCCCAAGAGTTTGAGGTTGCTGTGAGCTATGATGCCACAGCACTCTGGGGGGTGACAAAGTGAGATTCTGTCTCAAAAAAAAAAAAAAGAAAGAAAGAAAGAAAGAAATTTTGCTCAATAATTTATTGGAAATTAGATGGACTCAAGGATAATTGCAATCTGGGCCCCTGTAAAATGAAATAATGCCACTTTATCCTTCTCAAAAAATTGTGATCCTAGTAAAACAGTGGTTCGGTTCTGTTCCCCACTCTCGGCAGCCACCATGCCATTCTCCCACTCATAATGTGTCAACTTGCAGTCTCTCCAGTTCATAAGGATCCCAATTATGGTTCCAGTTATAAACATCCCAGCAGGCAGGCAGAGTGACTTGTTAGCTCACTCAGAGCGGAGGATTTCAACAGATTGGTCGGTCATGGCTTTCTTCTTGAGCTCAGAGTTCAAATTTCTTCACGTAATTATAAATGTTAAAAGGTAAAATTACATCTTCACAGCAGCCAAAAATTCATATTTTTTAATATATTTACAGTACTGTACATATTTACAGGACCACATCAAATACTGAATTGTAGAAATGAAAGCCACTTACTACAGCATCCATTTAATGCCCCAGCAATTATATTTTGTGCAAACTGAAACTTTTCTCAAACACCTCGGAAAGCTAAAGACAGTCAACATTGCGAAGGCCGCCGTCCATGGTCAGGGAGCCGAACCTGAACACAGAAGAAGAAAGGTACTCTTACAAGATTCATTTATCTGCCTCCCAACATTTTAAAGAAAAATACAGAATGCTTTCATGGAAATATACAAGTATTTTTAAAGAGTTCAAACACCTGTGATTTGTTCTGTTTCTTAGTGAGACAGCATGGGATTATCTGATGATATGAAGAAAATGGGGAACACTGTTACCGAGAAGCGGTCAGCAGGAACGGTCATCTCTCTCCGGGGCAGGGGTGGGATCTGTGGGCTGGAGAGTAGTGTGACATGCTCAAGGGACAGCGAGGAAGGGCACCTTGCTACAACATGTTATTCTGGGGAACAGTGGGAAGTACAGTTGAGTAAATAGGCTACAAGGGGCTCGGCTCCTGTAGCTCAGTGAGTAGGGCGCTGGCAACATACATGGAAGCTGGTGAGTTTGAGCCCAGCCCGGGTCTGCTAAACAACAATGACAACTGCAGGCTCGGCGCCTGTGGCTCAAGCGGCTAAGGCGCCAGCCACATACACCTAAGGTGGCGGGTTCGAATCCCCAGCCCGGGCCTG